GCGCTGGTGGGCGAGAAGCAGCTGAAGGTATTGCAAGAGAAGTACCACAAGAAGGGCTGGCGAATCCCGGTGAGAAAGACCGACGGCAACAGCAGCGCCAAGGGGATCGGCGGCCGCTCCAGGGTCGTCGGGGAAGCGATGGTGCCGGTGACCAGTGCGGGGATCCGGTGCCTCATCCTCTTCAGAGTGATCGCGGAGGACGTCCCCCTTCTCCTGCCCGTGCGCTGGATGGAGAGCCTGGGGGCCGTCGTGAACCTGGCCGAGGACAAGATCACGCTGCGCTTCGAGGGGCTCGACCGCACCGTCAAGCTCACGAGGCAGAGGTCCGGCCATCGCACCATGGCGCTGCTGGACGAGAGCCTCCCGGGGGACTTCGACATTCCTGAGGGGGCCCGGCGCGACTGGCCGGGCCTCGAGAATGACACGTTTCGAGTGTGCAGGCCTTCCTCCTTTGCCATCCTCCCCTCCTCTACGCCCGAGGCCTCAGGAGAGCCCGTATTGGACCCCCTCGAACTCGAAACCCCCGGGACCGTAGAAGGGAAGGGGGGGATCGGCCCGGCAGGATTCCAGGATACCCAACTCAAGGACTCAAGAGGCACTACGGGGAGATCACGAAGTACAAGAGAAGGAGAAGCTGAGGAGGATACAGGAACCAGAGGAGGTGGCACAGGATGAGGAGGCGGCGGAGAGACCAGGAGGCTACTCTCGGAGCTCACCTCAACCGTCGTACAGACTCGTGGGCTCGAGAGCACGTCCGATTTCCTCGATTCATCTCACGGGCCAAGAGAACAGGAGCCTCTGTCACGAGAAAGCCATGGCGTCCGGGAGAGCTCGCACGCCAGCGGTGAGGAGAAGCTCCAGTCTGAAGCGAGAGGGGGCCTCGAGGAAGAATTCAGCACCAGGGACTCCCCGGCCGTCAGTCACCTTCTCGGAGCCGATGGACACCAGCTGGGAGAGGCTGCCGGGGTCCGACCTGGAGTCCGAGGGGAGCGAACAGTCATCCCCGCCGCTGCAGGACGGCGCGGCCTCGACCCGTCCCACATCTCCGTCACCGCCCCAGCCGACGTCCAGGCCCCACATCGGCCTCCAGACGAGCTCCCCGAGGAAGGCCTGGAAGCGGATGACGGTCAAGCTGATGCACGTGGCCGACGTGGGACAGTGGGACAGGCGACCAAGATGATACAGGAGATGCGCGACGAGGCGACCGGGAAGATGAACGCCCTGGAGTGCCCTCATCCACCCTGGGCCCACTGGGAGTCAGGCAACCAGCACATGCGCTACGTCAAGTGCCTGAGGTGCTCGAGCATGATCTGGAGAAGGGACCTCACGCACCGCGAGAAGCAGGCCCAGCAGCTCAAGAAGGTCGAGAAGGAGGCCCGGCGGGCGGCGAGGACCAAGCAGCTGGAGACGCCGCCTTGGGAGCCGCCGAAGGTCGAGGGTCGCAGCAAGGAGGGCGTCAAGAGGGCGGCCAGGGCTACTCCAGCGGCGTCGTCCGGTTCGGCCGACACGACGGTAGAGACGAGCAGCTCCGACCTCAACCAGATGATGAAGGCGATCCAGACCAACAGCGAGGTGGTATCGCAGCTGGCGCTGGCGATCCAGCAGCTCGTGCAGAAGGGGGCCTGAGGGGCTCAGAGAGCCGAAGGAGGATCAGGGAGGGGGGCCAAGGGAGCTCGGGGGTCCAGGACGGTCGGGACCTCCAGGGACCCACTCCAGGAGGATCTTTCTGTGCGGAACCCGGGGAAGGAGGGGGAATCTGGCGAGCAGCCTCTGTCGCACGATCCCGCTGTCTCGGCAAAAGTCACCGAGACAGCAGCTTTAGAGCCTCGGGCATATGGTGGGACACTAGGGAAGGTCGGACGGTCACGCTCGATGAGGTTTCCAGGGCCCGGGGCTGGGAATCCCACCGGCTCGATCCAGAAGAAAAATGCCGCCTGATGGCCCAAGTGGCCTGCTACTTAGTTCGTCGGCCCGACCCGGGCGACCTAGGCGAGTGGCTTTCGGACTGGGTCAGGATCCGCTGCTCAGGAGCGTCAGGAAACACCCTCTACGACTCCCTCTCCTCAGACTTCTCGGCGCGGCAGTTGCAGCTCGCCATCGCCAACGAACCCCTGGGCCACGCCACCGTAGAGGCGTGGACAGCTTCGGCGTCTACGCACGCACCTCCGCCCGGCTCGAGTTCGAGGGCTCCGGCTGGACCGGCGTCTCCGCTGGAAGGTATATACTCCCTTGGCCGGGCCCCCTCGATCTCAGGATTGGTTTTCTCCCAGGAAAGTGAGTGCCTGGTTCCCAGGGAGGTCCGAGACGCCGCGTTGGCCGCAGGAGGGGAGGGACCGGTGAGGAAGCAGCGGAAGCGGCGGAAGAAGCTCGTCCAGGACTGGCTTTTGGGGTCCGGCCGCAAACTGATCTTGGAACTCTTTTCGGTCCCACGGGTCGCGGACAGTCTGAAAGGGCAGGGCTATCCCGTTTCCAAGAGCCTGGATTTACGGACCGGTTATGATCTCGGGTCTCCGTCAGGGGAACGTGCGATGTGGAGTATCATAGAGCGAGATCGGCCCGAGGTCATAGTCATGAGCCCTGAGTGTCTGGCCTTCTCCGTTGCCCGTCGTCCCAGTTGGCACCGACTCAAGGGAACCGACCTCGCAGACCCCGAGACCGCCGGCCTCAAGTTCATGTCCCTGTGCGTTAGAGTGGCCGAATACCAGATGGGTCGGGCCCGTGGTTTCCTTCTTGAGCACCCCGAGGGTGCCAGCTCCTGGGAAATGGACTCGGTGCGGGAAATCTTGAATCGGCCGAGCGTCGTGTCGGGGGTTGCCGATCTCTGCCAGTACGGTTTGTCCGTGAAGGGAGGAGAACCCAACAAGAAACCAACCAGGTTCATGACCAACCGTGCGTCTATTTTGCAGCCCCTCCTGCTCAGGTGCGACGGGAGTCATCAGCATCGTCAGCTCTGTGGCAGGGCCCTCGCGCGAGCGGCCCAGAACTACCCCCCGGGACTCGTCCAGGCCATGTGCGAGGGAATCCTGGAGTCAGCTCGCATCGTCGCCCTCGGGCACCGGGAGGAAACCCTGTGGTCCGGCGTTTGGGGGGATCCCGAGTGGCTGGCCGAGAGAAGGGTGACAGGGGTCCCATCCCCCAGACCAATCGACCGACAGGTTGCCTCCTTTCCAGCCCAAGAGGACCTTGGCTCGGACGACGAGCCCGAGGAGGGCGAGGGGAGGGAAGGACTCGGGTCTAGTCAGAGAGCGGGGAGGCAGGCCGGGTCAATCAGTCGAAGTCAGCGCCTGGAGGTTTCCCGGACCCACGTGAACCTGGGCCACCCGTCAAGGGACGCCTTCTTGAAAATGCTGCAGGTTGCCCAGGCTCGGCCCGAAGTTATAGAATACGTCAAGCACGAGTTTCGTTGCGAGCAGTGTGACAGCCACACCCGACCGTCGTGGAGGCGTCGAGCCGCCGTTCCCCGAACCTACCGGTTCAATCGGCTCGTTGCTGTGGACTGTCTGTTCGTTACGATTCTCAGCACTAAGATGACGGTTCTGAACATGCTCGATCACGGCACTAACTTTCAGCTGTGCCATCTGCTCGGTCCCGGGGAACCACTGACGTCCGAGAATATCTGGGAGGCTTTTGACAAGAGCTGGATCAGGATCTTTGGCCCCCCCGAGGTCGTCATCAGCGATGGAGGATCAGAATTCCTGGGCGCGTTCGGCCGTGGCTCTGAGCATGCAGGCGTGTTTCAGCATGTCTGCGACGCCACGTCTCCGTGGCAGAACGGCCGGGCGGAGCGACACGGAGGATGGATCAAGAACGCTCTGACGAAGGCCTCCGATCATGTCCAGCCGACGTCTCATGCCGAGGTCGAGTTGTTGCTTCATGAAACAGCGTCCGCCAAGAATCGATACCACCGGTCTGGGTACTCTCCGTACCAGCTTGTCTTCGGAGAGAACCCCAGACTGCCAAGGTCTCTTCTCAGCGACGAGGGAGTGGACGATATCGGCCTAGCAGATGTCCAAGCAGAGGCCGCCACGGAGGATAGTGCGGCCAGTGCGTTCGCCAGAAAGCATCAGATCCGTGAGCAGGCCAAGAAGGCCTTGATGGCGGCGGACGCCAAGTCGCGTCTCGCCGAGGCCCGGAGATCTCGACCCCATGTCGATCGCGTCTTTCTGCCTGGCCAGTGGGTGTACGTGTGGCGCAAGGTGACAGGGGTGAAAACTCACGCGCTGCAGCGAGACCGGTGGGTCGGCCCCGGGGCCGTCGTCTTTCACAAGGGAACCACAGTTTGGATCGCGATGCGAACCAAGCTATGGAAGTGCTCGGTCGAACAGGTCCGAGAGGCGACGCGTGCCGAGGCGCTCGGAGCCGAACTCGTGGATACCCCGGAGTTTCGGGCCCTTCAGGCCGAAGTTCGCAACCCAGGCAAGAAGGTGGGGGCTCTGGACGTCGAATCCGAGGGTTCCCCCCCGGACGAGGCCTGGGACGGTCAGGACACGATAGGGGCCGAGGCAGGGGGACCGGTCACTACGGGCGGAGGAGGCGGAACGGCGTCGGCTCGTCCCTCGGAGCCCGCGGAAGCCTCGGTGGAAGCCCGGCCCCCTCTTCCGACTATTCCTGAAAGCAGCGAGGTTGTGAGCCTAGGAGACCAGAGCGAGCTTCCCGAGGACCTGCGCCGAGCTTTGGATGCCCCGTACCCCCTCCGTCCCGCTCCTGACCTGGGCCGATTTGTCAGGACCGAACCCCTCGAGGACAAAGAGGACAAGTTGCATCCCCCTCCCGGCCTGGAGGAACCCCCTAGAGCTCGCCCCCGAGTAGAAGGCAGTCCCAGCCCGTCCCCCGCTGCCTCTTCCGCTCCCAGTCTAGTCAGGACCATCGACGGCTGTCGAGGCGATTCGAATCCAGGAGCTTCAGTCGAGCCTGAAAGAGCCAGAGAGAGATCTCCGCGAGTTGCCGCCCGACCAGCTGAGGGATCGACGTCTCGACACACTCGGCGAGCCGGGTCGCCCATGCGCGGGTTGCTCTCTCGCATCCACGTTATCCCCGCGGGTCCCGGGGTGACGCCGGTGGAGCTCCGAGAGTCGGCCTCCGTGGCCGAGAGGGTTCAGGAGTGGGAGGCCCAGAGGAGTTCGGCGGACGACGCCAGAGGCGACCCCGGCACTTTGATCGAACTGGCTTGCGGAGAGGAGGAGGGCCTGATCGAGCTCAGGGAAGAGGACGGGGCTGACGAACAGGACCGGATGCTCCTCCAGGAGTTGGCGACCTGGGGTCCGGGTCCCGGGGACGAAGAACACGGTCCGACCTCCTCGTTCGCCACGGCCGGACCGACTCCAGGTGGGTCCCGGCGGGGCCAAGAGGTCGTCTGGAACAAACTCAGTCCAGAAGAACGAGAGGAGTTCAAGAAGGCGGACGCGGCCGAGTGGTCCGCCATGACCGCCACCAAGGCAGTGAGAGTGGTCCCCCCGCGGAGGCGACCCTGGTCCGTCGGAGGGATCCATCAAGGATTCTCTCGTCGCGCATGGTCCGTCGGTGGAAGCCGCAGGAGGGCACGGGAGCCAGCGAGAAGGCAAAGTCACGCTGGTGCGTGAGGGGGTATGCCGATCCTGACGCGGAGTCTCTGCACGTGTACGCTCCGACTCCTCAGGAGGAGGCTGTGTTGGTTGCTCTCCAGCTGATAGCTGGCAAGAAGTGGAGGCTTCAGATAGCGGACTGTAAGAACGCCTTTTGCCAGGCGGACCCCCTCTCCCGCCCCAACGGGAAGATATATGTCGAGCCATGCGATGGCGTTGACGTCCCCCGGGGGCCCCTCCTGGAACTTGTGGCCCCAGTCTACGGCCTGAACGATGCTCCGATTCGCTGGCACCAGACCTTGACCAATCACCTCAAGTCCCCGGGGTTTCGGCGCTCCCTTTTGGAGCCGTGTTTTTGGGTTGCCCACCATGCCTCGGGTAGTCTCAGGGCTCTTGTGGTGATTGAGGTCGACGATCTTATTGTTTCTTGCGAACCCTCATATGAGAGTGAGCTCAAGAAGTTGTTGACCGGTCGTTTCCGTTTCGGTAAATGGCAGGTCGGTGAGGCCGAGTACGCAGGGAGAAGGATCCGCCAGCAGTCTGATGGGCGCATTCTCGTCGACCAGGAAAAATATATCCTGGAGCAGGTCCGTCCCATGAGACTCGACAAGGAGCGTGTTAAATGTCCCGAGGAGCTGCTCGATGCAAGAGAGCTCCGAGACTATCGCGGCCTGGTGGCGAAGATTCTCTGGGCGGCCCGCCAGTCTCGTCCCGACGTGTCCGGGTCCGCCTCGATGCTGAGCGCCGAATGCCCACAGGTCAAGATAGCCTCGGCTCTCATGGCTAACAAGGTTGCTCGCCACCTCCGGTGTACGGCCAGCTCCTGTCTGACGATTTGGCCCCTGGACCTGAGTGCCGTGACCATGGTCACGTGCAGTGGCGCGGGGGGCCCCGGGTCCGCTAAAAGAGACGGTGCTCAAGGAGGCTGGCTCGTGATGCTAGGAGATTCCAGGATCAAGGATAATCGTCGTTCTCGTGTTTCGCTCTTGTCTTGGAGAAGTCAGAGGCTCCGTCGAGTCGTTTCGTCCACGTTATCGGCGGAGACGTTAAGTCTTTCCGGGGCTCTCGCCGAGGGACAGTGGTTGTGGCTCGTTTTCCGGGATGCCCTGTATGGAGACGTGAGGGGGCCTGAATGGTGGAACTCAGGGACGTCCTGCCCCTTTGCAGTCGCGCTCGTCGACGAGTGTGCCATCGCCGAGGCTTCCGAGGGCGTCGCCGTAGTCGATGCGAAGTCCCTCTTCGATACGCTGTCCAAGAACTGCGGGGGTGCTAAGGCTGACCGCCGCAACGCCATCGAGATGGCGATAGTCCGGGACTCGATGACAGCCGAAGGGACAGTGGTGAGGTGGGTTCCACACTGCAAGATGCCAGCTGACGCTCTGACCAAGGTCGACCCAGGACGAGGGAATTTTGCTCTGACTGATCTCATGCACAAGGGGATGCTGGCGCTAACGGACGAGTCTGGGTCGCTCGATGAGCGATCTCTCAACCTGTCGCTGAAGTCCCGGACTCGGAATGCATCGCGACAGGTTCTACAGAGAGAATCCCAGTCCACCGAGGCTGGCGAGGACGCAGAGGAGGCTGAGGAGGAGAGAGGAGAAGGAGGACGCCCCGCCAGGACGCCGAGGAGGTCACCCTCGCGTCCGCCGGGCCTGCCGGGCCCAGTACCCTCCGACCCGGGCCCGGAACCGAAGGGGGGAGAGGGAAAGGGCGTGGTCCGTGGATCTTAGGGGCCTCACCTCCCTGTCTGCTGCTGTGATGGACCTCATGGGACACTAAAGTAGGGGGTGCTGTCTTTTAAATACTCAACCCCCTGTCCCATGAGGTCCCCTAGAGTATTCTCAGAGTTTGATGTGTTTCACGAGTTGTGCGACACTGTGTCCAGTGTCGCTGGGGTGGCGTCCCACAGCATGCGAGCATGACTGTACTGACGCCGATGTGGCTCAAGTGCGCAAAACATCCGGGAGGAGAGGGGCCTCCCGCTTGTCGCCCCGCGCGCCCCCAGGCCTCCAGAGTCCCTCGATCCGCCCGCGAACCCGTTTCACAGAAGGCCAACATGGGGCCAAAACCTTAGTAAAATCAATGATTTTGGCCTGAAAGAAGAGGGGAGCTTTAATTAGCGCTGCCCCCTTCAGAAGGCCAAAATGGGGCCACAACCGTGGTAAAATCAATGATTTTGGCTTCAAAGAAGAGGGGGGCACTTTTCTCCCCCCCCCCGTCGGGGCCAGAATCCTCGTGAGGGGTGTCGTTTTTTAACCCTCCCAGGAGTCGAAAAAGACCCCTCTGACGACCCGCGAAAGGACCTCTCCAGGCCCAGGGGGAGGGGGGAGGGGGAGGGGTAAACCCCTCCCCGAAGGGGAAAAAGGGGGGTTGAGAACAGAGAGAGCTCGCTAAACCACTCACGCCCAAAGGGCTGGTGGGATTAGGGGGAACATGAAGAACAGACGGGGTTGAGCCGTGCGATACGTTCGCCACCAAATACTTCACGATCCACGTGAAATGCACCACGTTTTAGGTGATCATTACCAAGATCAGCGTGAGATACATAAAGACCTACACGAACATCAGCAATATCAGCGTTGAATATTTCGAAACAAGGCCAAGGCTAACCGCGATTACAACATCAAGCGCCAGCTGTTGAACTACAGCGCTCGAGACTTGCCCGCCTTTGTGCAGACGTACCGCCAACGATGCCGAGACCATGCAAGCATAGAGGAACATGGGCGCGAGCGGACGCGGCCCCCAAACGAGTGGGATACAACGTCCAGCAAGGGGCACAGCGTCGCTCCGACACCATCATTATTACTGCGACGACCGCTTTTGCGAGAGCGTCCAAGCACGAGCTGCGTAGCATGCAGCCCAACTGCGACAACGAGCTGCGTAACTGGCGACTCAAGTGCGATGATGAGCTGCGTACTCGGCAACCCAAGGACGAGTGCCGCCACCACTACGACACCAAATACGCCACCAAGACCGACGCCAGGAACGACGCGACTGAACGGCCCGAAGGGGTTACTAAGTGCGTCGTCGAGGAGGTACAGTTGGACCACGGCCGCACCGCCTACGACGGATGCGTGTACGGCTGTGCCGCCTACGACGATTGCGACTCCGACAGTTTTGTCGATAGCAACCTGTACTTCCACGACCCCCAGGACCACTCCCAGGACCATTGGGCAGTCGACTCCGATTCAGACCTCGGGGACTATGAGGAGAGTGTGCCCTCTGAGCTACCGCGGCCACCAGCGGAGCTACCAGGGCCACAGGTCGACCTTCGGGGACCGCGAGCTGAACTACGAGGACCACTCGCGCAGCTACGAGAGTCACCATCAGTGTTTCAAATCCTACGTGTTGAGTTCCGAAAGCCACCAACAGAGTCACGCGAGTCACAGGTTGAACGACGAGGATTGCGAGCTGACCTACGCGAGCCACAACCAGGACTACGAGGCACAGTGGCTGAGCCACGACGGTCGCCTGCTCAGATGCGAGGGTCATCAGCAGAGCTACGTGGATTACAGGGGGAACTACCGGAGACACCAGCTCAGCTACGAGAGCCACAAGCAGAGCTTCGAGAGCCATCGGCAGAGCCGCGAGGTCGACCTGGAATGCTGCCAGCGGGATTGCCTGAGCTGGGCAACGACCAGAGCTATTACAGCCGCCAGCACAGGTACCAGGGCCACCTGTGGCTCTTCAAAGACCACAAGATGTGCTACGAGGGCCACAGGCACGGCGGCGAGAGCCGCAAAACGAGCGTCAACACCCACCTGCTGAGCTATGAGGTCCGCTGGCCGAGCTACGAGGCCCAGATGCGCAGCTATGAGACCCACCAGCGCAGCCACAAGGACTGCGACTGAGCTACGGAGATCGCAGGCACAGCTACGAGCGCTACTCGGGCCACTTGCTATTTTACGCGGGCCACAAACTGGGCTACAAGGGCCACGTGCATGGCCACGAGGACCACTGGCTGATATACAAAGGCCACGAGCTGAGCAGCGAGATCCGAGAGCAGAGCTACGGGTGTCATCAGATGAATCACGAGAGCCACGAGCAGAGCCTCGAAAGCTTCCAGCTCAGATACGAGGACCACCTGCTGAGCTTCGAGGGCAGCAAACTGAGCTACGAGAGCCTGAGAGCAGAGTCCTGAGAGCAACCAGCTGCGCTACGCGTGCTACCAGCGGAGCTACGGGGGCCACAGGTTGAGCTTCGAGACCCACCAGCGGATCTACCGGGGCCACCTCCTCAGCTACGGGGGCCACCGCGGGAGCTACCGGGGCCGCGGGCTGGCCGACGAGAACCTCCAGCAGAGCTACTGGGGCCAACAGTTGAACAATGAGGACCACGAGCTGGGCTACAAGGGCCACGCGCAGAGCTACGAGAACCTCCTGCTGAGCTCGAGTGGGCCGCCCACGACCGAATCTACAGTCGGAGCCGCAGGCTTTGACTCAAAAGTTCAGGCGTGCAGACGGAGTACACGAGTGCACATTTCCAGCAGCTGCTGGAAACAGCAGTGGCAAGCGTGAGGAGAATCATAGAAGCACGGGCCCACTCCATAGCATCGCCGAACGTATCTGGGACACGGCTGTTGATAAGCTCGGCAACGACCAGGCGGAAAGGTACAGCCGCAATCGGCAGCCCAAGGAGATTAATCGACCGATCACCATCG